TATTTCCCACGCTCTGTGCTCGGCTCTGTTGGGTGGTCGCTTCAAGGACTCAAACTTTGAATAGTGAAAAAAGTAGCCGACACAGATGTGTGTTTTGCTCAATAGTCAGTGGTTGCCCTTCTGATTTCGCAATGCCCTTTGTAGTGGACATTAGGTATATACTGCATTCTGTTAAGTGAACTACTTGGAAACGAAAACAATCACCAATTGCATCAAGGTTTTTACGCTTGCCATGCAATTCGAGCAGTGGTACCGCTTAGCGGGATGTCTGAGATTCCCAATTGTGGCCCGGTAGACACGGATAATTTGGGATCTTTCCGGGAATCGGTAACAAGAGCGCACCGTTTCAGGAATTCAGCATTGAAACGTAACTTGGACAATAACTGTATCAATTGTTTAAATGTTATTTTAACACTCAAAGAAGAAAATTCTATTGATCTCTTGAAAAAAAGCGAATATTTTCGAGGCGAAATAGTTAATTGAAAAGTACTGAAAAATATGAGAAAATAGTTCCTTATAACATCAGCTGTGAAGCAAAATTTGCACTACATATTTCGAACAAACTTTCATTTCCTATTTGTCATCCTTCCTCCTCTTAAAGCCATTAAAATTCTTTCATGGGCTCAAATATATGGAAGATTTAATAGTGTCGTGAAAGTTTTCAATCCGTCGCAAACTATGTCTCCATAACGAAGTTATAATGGTTAGGGGAAAATAATCGTTTGCCAATTATGCATAACTACGCAGCTATAAATTTTGTTGGCAGATTTAACGATCCGTTGTTTTTGATAACGCCATAACTTAGGTTTACTTTTTCAACGTGAGCTTTTAGTTGAAAATGGTCGGAGCAAACGGAAATCAATCAGATTTGGCTGGAAATTTGTTTTATTCAAAACGTACCGGAATAATATTTATATAGGGTGTCCCGGTAAGGGTAAAGAACGGCTGTATCTCGACAACAGTAAGGACTAGAAGTTTGGGGAAAAAATCCTAAGTAAAGTTGTCATACAAAATGACTGGAAATGTACTGAAGTTCGTACCTCCACCGCTAGGGAGAGCAACTTGTACCGCAAAACAAAAAAGTCTTGGTATCTCAAAAAAGAGCAAGGTAGCTACTATGTGGTCTCGAAAGAACGTGTTTTTAAAGACTACTTTATTAAAGCGAGTACAGGATGAGAATAATTGTGATCTTGGGTTTGCATGATAAGGAAAACAATCTTATGAACTAAACAATAGACAATAAGATGCTGAATTGCGTCTGGCTGAAATGCAGTCTTAGTGATAAGGCTAGGTGGGCTATAAGTTTAAAAACGTCCTTTGAGAGCTTGGCTAATACCGCATAGATATCTCTTTGGTAATTTTTTGTAGCTTTTATAATAAAAGACGGAGAGGGGAGTGCAGTTTTCTATACTTACATTTTAATATCTCCTCAACCACTTAACCGACTTTTTGTTTTTTTTCCTCACACATTTTGCCCAAACAAATCACGTTGCCACGAAGCCATAATATCTGCTAAATTCAAAACATCCAATATTTTTTTTTCCAAACCGCTAGTCTTTACCGTTGTCGAGAAACACCCGCTTTTTGCCCTTATCGGGACACCCTGTATCCATTTACAATAAGCAAGAGTGTTATTTGGTTTTGCACCTAACGTTTCCATTGAATTAGCAGCATTAGTTTTTTTAAGATTTTAGGGTTTTGGCAAATTGCAGTCTTCTGTTATATGAAAGTGACCAAAAGGCTAGGGGATGGCAAAGTTGAATTGTTTATCGAACACTCCACTGCTTTACAGAAATGGCAATATAATTATCCCATCTCTTTTTAATATTTGGTCAGGGTGTCCGAAAAGCCCTAAAAGTATCAAAGTAGTGTTTTTTTTTATTGAAATAGCCTACATATTATTGCATTTTTGGATTCTATGAGCAAAATAAGCGTTTGTTATCAACACAATCAGTGACAAACAGTCAAGTTGTCAGCGTGCGCGGAGAAAGTTATTACTTTTCACACGAGATGAAAAAAAATCATTGAATAATGGGCGGAAAGGAAACTTTTCATTGTCATGTCATTGTAATGAGTAAAAGTGATTCTTTCCCTATCCAAAACAGTGTCGAAACTGTGTTCTTTCCTCCGGGGGATAAAGCAAATCATTTTTTACTTTTTTATTAGGATTTACCTAAAAGTTCGACTAAGTTGCACTTCGAATGAGAAATGT